CCCGAGACCCGCGAGCACCTCTTCAAGGTGCTGGTCATCGGCGAGCTGGGCGTGGGCAAGACCAGCATCATCAAGCGCTACGTCCACCAGCTCTTCTCCCAGCACTACCGGGCCACCATCGGGGTGGACTTCGCCCTCAAGGTCCTCAACTGGGACCGCAGGACGCTGGTGCGCCTGCAGCTATGGGACATCGCGGGTAAGCGGCGGCGCCCCGACGTGGGACCTTGGGGGCGGGCGGCGGGGTTGGGGGGCTCCCGCCTGACCCCCCCGTCGGGTGCCGGGCCCACTTGGCATCTCGGGCACCTTTGCGCTCTCTCTGTCCTCAGCCCGAGTCGCCAGTCAGGCGGGCTTAGAAGAGACTAACTCAGTGAGGGGGACGCCCCAGGGAGCCGCTCAGTAATAGTTGAAAAACTTGGAGGCAGGACGAGAAAAACGCACCCAGAAACAACACTGGTTGGAAGCCTCTGCTCAGCCTGCGGAACCGCTTATTTCTGATAGATGGGAAGGAGGCCCGCTGGCCCCTTTCCTGCCAAGACGCGAGAAAGCCAAGAAGTCTTTTCCAGAAGCTCTAACTGAGTGTTGACATGGTGACCCACAGGAAGAGTTGGGGGAGGGGGCCACCAGGCTTCTCTGCTCAGCTTTAACTTCTCAGGGGTGAGAACTGAAGTTCTGCATGGGTGAGTGACTTACCCAGACTGACACTCCCCCTGGTGAAACAGCCTAGAGGAGAAAGCAGCTTGCCTGCAGGTTGCTTTTAGCACCAGCTTCTTTGGGAGTGACCCTGCGTTCTTCCAGCACCTCGTTCGTGGCCAGGTTAGATTACCCAGGTGACCTGTACTTAGTGTGGCCTGTGTCTGCCCCACCCCTACCCTTGGGACAGTTTCTCTCTTCAACTCCGTGACCCCTCCCCACATCAAGGCCTAGCCCCCCAATATTTTCCTTCTGGACCCTAATGTCCCTCTTTTAGGGAATCCCATTTTTCCTTGCTCTAATTCATGAAAACCATTGGTGGAAACCATTTCATATTTAACTTTCTAGTGAACATCTTTGTATCATAGGGCATGTACAGCCCTGGCCGGACAACCACTGCAACCAGTGTTCATGTTCTCATGAGCAAGATGCTGGAAGAACGCAGGGTCACTCCCAAAGAAGCTGGTGCTAAAAGCAACCTGCAGGCAAGCTGCTTTCTCCTCTAGGCTGTTTCACCAGCTGGGAGTGTCAGTCTGGATAAGTCACTCACCCATGCAGAACTTCAGTTCTCACCCCTGAGAAGTTAAAGCTTAGCAGAGAGGCAGGTTGACCCCCTCCCCCAACTCTTCCTGTGGGTCACCGTGTCAACACTCAGTTAAAACTTCTGGAAAAGTCCCCTTGGCTTTCTCACTTCTTGGCAGGAAAGGGACAAGCAGGCTATATATGAAATGATGCTAAAAGTTACCGCTCAGACATGTTGCTGTCAAAGTCAGCTGCAATGCAACACTGAAGGGGCACATGTTCAGGGTTGGAGAAACCGTCCTCAATCCTCCAGAAGCACCAGCTGGAGCCTGTGTGAGGGGTGGTGCCAGCAGAGCATGTAAGGGTTGGGGTGGGGCAGGCACAGGCCACGCTAAGTACAGAAGAATTATAACCTACATATTCACATTCATTTATTTAAGAACAGACATCTGTTCGACAGATAATAAAAATTTGTTCGCGGCTTTCCTTCAGAAAATGGGTAGGGTAATCTGCCTTGGGCTCCGCTTTTTATTTCTTCGGGTGACAGAATACCAAAAGTTCGTTTGAAAAGTTATCTTTTGGAGCCAGTGGCTTCTTTCAAAACTTCCTGCTGTTTTACAGAGCGCTTGAGAGCAGCAGTATTGCCTCCTGCCAAGTCGTGGATTGTGAAGGTCGCCTTAGCATGTGATGGTCCTTCTCCAGGAATCTAAAAGATAGCTGTGGATTTCTAGGCTGAGATGATTTTTATAAACCTCCACCTTGGAGGTTTCTCAACTTTGCTTTCATGTAAATTAATGGGGTAACTAGGAATTAAGTTCTGGATGGTCTCCGCTGCCCGTAGGTCAATGAGTAAGTTTAATTAGATTTTTCTACACAGTTGTGTTTTTAAGTTTCAAGGGGAAATAGTTGTGTTTGGAGACACAGGAATACAAAAGAATGGATAAGAGTTTTCTTGAGTATAATCTCCTCTACTTCTTTAATAGACCTGAGCACTGGGAGGGACATGTTGGCTCTTAAGCAGACCCCAGAACATAGTGCCAGGGTGCCTATGGGCACTTTGGTCTAAATCCCAAGTTTGGGTGTTGCCGGGCAGGAAAATTGAACTTTAATAAATTCCTGGAGCTTACATACCGTTCAGCCAATACACACCAGCAGTGAACAAGATTGAGGTGATCCTATGAGGTAATTGGAAATTATCAGGCTAAAATCAAAGCTTTAGGAGATGGCATCCTAGTATATAAGGGAACTGAAAGAGAAAAAGAATTTTAGTTTTCATGTAAGGCGTAGGGAGGTACATGGTTAACAATGGTGTTTGAATATTCGAGCTACTGGGAGTCCTGTGGCATGCCATTTGAATTAAGCAATAATGATGTAATGAAGGCAAACTGGAAGCCCCGCGCCAAAAATTTCCCCTATGACTACACATATTTGCCTTACATAGTAACAAAATTGAATGGTGTTTAATGTTTAAAGGTTTAAAATATTCCTTGACTGTAAAACAGTTAGTCCAGCTGGCCACTGGATCAGACTAACAAGGTATGGTGAGTTTTTGTTATTGCTGCTTTGGAGAACAGAAAATTACAAAATTGTCTCCAGTCTCTGAAAGCTTTGGCCTTTGTAACAGGCAAGAATTTTCCTTTTTTTTTTTTTTTTTTTTTCTGTAAATGTAGCCGGTTAGCTAAACTTAAATTTTAATTCAAGAATCATGTGACACTTCTTTCAGGCCTTACAAGGCCTCCTTACTGCATGGAATGAAGGTAGTAGATGCAGTTAATACAGTGGCTGCCTCTTAAGTCATGCCTGCACTCACACTGCTCAAAACATACCTGAAATACACTAACATGTGGAAGTTTTTACCATTCAGAGATACTTTGATAAATGTATAGTAAATGTATAGCAAAAGAGCTACCACTGATCTCCCTTGCAGTTGATGTTGTGTGTGGCTTAGTGATTATTATAAGCTTATTAGCAATTATAGAATTGTCTCAAGAGGTTGATGGCTAGTTTAGGCTAAATATCAAAATGAAAAATGTGTGTCCACTTAGCTCTACCATAACTTAGTCTCATGTATTTGTTGAAATGCTGTGCTTTTATCAGGAAGGCAAAAATTTACCTCAGCTGGTAAATGTTAAGTGGTTTCAGCGGGGCCTAAGAATGAAATGGCTGTGAGACAGATTAATAGGAGCAAGTTTTATGCATTTGTGGAAGTATTAGGTGACACAGGAGCCCTCGTAAGTAATGAAGACCCAGAGCAGGGGCCACACCTAAATGCTTTCCAAAAAGGTTGGAAGAAGGTTGGCCGTTCTGCAACAGTAAGGGGAAAATGGGGACGTCTCGGGAAGGGAAGAGGTACTTTCACGAGGTTCCTTTGTATGGAATTTCCTCAACATGGACTCCTCATACCTCGTGGTTAGGATACTGTTTCCAGAATACTGTTTGCTTATAACTTGGCACAACTGAGCCTGAATAAGGCATGGACAGGAAAAGTGTACACAACCCAGGTAATGAAGTTACCTAGGAAAGTCCCAGGACCCCTCCCTGGTACGGGGACACCAAGTTTCACATGGGACTTGCATCCCCTAATTTGGGGGAGAAAGAGGGGGGTCAGAGCAGCTTTCTTGCTTCTGCCATTTTTCCAGTGCCTTTGATACGAAGTATTCCTTATGCCAAAGTGGCATTTTGGGGAGTGGCATACTCTGCCACCCTTCATGTTTTAGGATCAAATTTTGGTTATAGAAATCTAGAGGAGTGTGACACATCCCTTTGGGCCAAGAGACACATCAACACAACATGCCCTGAAGTTCGTGTAAATATATCCACAGTCTGTTACTCATGGTGGTCTGCACACCATCTGTAGGTTCACTTTCTGTGCCACCGTAAATTAGAATGCTCATGCCCATTTCCTTTCCCCATCTTGTGCGTTGCTAATTACCGCACATGTTGCTCACCTCTTGTCTTCTGTCAAAACTGGCCTATAATCACCATGAGCAAACATCTGGACGATAGCCCCGAGTGTACTCTTGACCTCCAAAGTTTCAGTCATAGCTTAGTAATATTCCAGTTCTCGCAATACAAAGAAGCAGCACTTTGAGGAGTTAGCCTGGGGAGTTATTTGTCTCTTTTAAACACTGAGTGCTGCAATAATGTTCCTAGGGTTGACTGGCAACCTTACTTAATAGCTAATTAAAAGGATTTTTTAAATCTTCATTAAAAATGTGTCCATTTTTACTATCGTCAGTCTTCTTCAGGCTCAGTTGTGCTGAGTTACAAGCAAAGCCCATACACATATGTACATCTGCCCATTTTTATGTATGCTCTGGATGCACATTATCACCATCCCAGAGCCACCTTTACAACCATATACAATTAAAACTTGTCAACAAAGCCCACTCTCTATTCTTAGGTGTTGATTAAGTGTGAAATCCTCACTATTCTAAGGATATGCTATTCCTGGGTTATAAATCCAAGACCTTCAAATTTTCCTCTGTAGTAGAGCACATTTTCTCATCTCTTAGTCTATTTTATAAGGGCCCAGAAAAATGCATTAATCACGCTTTTTGTTTTTCTACATGTTATGAGACATTGATGCCTTGAGATCCAGGAGCTGCCCCAACCAGGGTAAGCAGTTCCTGCTAGAGAAACAACTTGCTGATAGCAAGTCTCTCGTGCACAGACTACTCAATTTTGAGTCTATATCCTCCACCTGCCTCTGTTTATCAGGCTTCTGCAGTCCAGGACACTATTCTCCTGACCTAGATCTCCACATGGACAGTGAAGGACCAACCCTATAGCCCAGAGCCCACCAGTCTTCCAAAGTGCCGATCCTAGTTTTCTTGCCATCCTGCCTTACCTGTTCCTTCCTGCAAACTCTCAACTAAAGGTAGATGGTCTTCCCTCCCTTTTTCTCCCCTCCCCTCCAGATGAAGGAGTTTCCCAGGTGGCCTCCACGGCGTGGCATGCGCCCTCCTCTTGGGAACAGTGAGT